TTCATCATTTTTTGTCAACTGTAAATTATTATCTTCATAGAAATTTATTTCAATCGTTAAAAAAAAGAAAAAAACAAGATATACATATATATATATAGATATCTATCTATATATATATAATCATAATTTATCATTGTTATCACCTTGATTTCATGATATCATTGATGTATGAATTAATATGATTTCTTAATCAGTCAAGTATCAGGCAAATTTTTTTTTTCAAAATCAAATTAGATATATTTAGGAATTATTGCAAATAACAGATCCAGGGAATAGCTATTATCAGTTACAAACAATAACTGAGCATGATAAATCGCCAGTATGGTGGAGAAATGAAGAAAATTCAACATTTCGAAATTCACCAGATTGTATGCTTGCTTCCATCTGAAATTAAATTTTTTGATTCACTGATAATTTGAACCTTTTTTTTTTTGTTAAGAAATATATCTGATTAACTATCCCAATTAATCAAATGGATATAACATTCTTGTGTAAAAAGGTTTTATTTGTCATTTAATTTATCACATATTGTGAAATTGCATATACTGTAATTCTATCTTAAAATAAAACAATGAATTTCAGTTGGACAACCATCATTACCAAGGTTTATTGATGCATTTGCAAACGGTAGCTTCGAATGTCCATTAAGTTCAAATGCTGAAACAGAAGAACATCCATGGGATGAAGTGGATTTAAAAATTACCGATGAATGTTTATTTTTTGATTTATCCATGTGATGATTAGTTTTGGTGCTTCGGTTGACAATTTTATAAAATGTTTTTACATTCAGCTCATAAACATTTCCTTTTTTTTTTTTTTTTTCTAATTACTATTAAACTTGCACAAATTATAATGTATTTGAAATTTTTAAATGGTACAAATTTTTGAAATACGTTAGATTTCATTACAGTAATTAATCCAAAATAATTTGCATGAGGATTTTTTTATTTTGTAAAAATATTAAAAAATTGTAGTGAAAAAAAAAAAACAAAACAAAAATTGTGTCACTAATACAAATTAAATGTAACAAAAATTTGATTTTAACAATATGCAAAAGTAGTTTGTAACTGTATTATTTGCTTGTTATTGATGGAAATATCTTTTAAATTTAAATAAATTTTGTCAAAATTATGAATATTTCGATGCACTACATATAAATCTATGTTTCGCCATAACATATTTTAATTTTTAATCAAAAATTGAAATACTTATTAGCAAAATTTTGGAATAGAAAATTTTTAATTTTTTACAAAATTTCAATTTTATTCTAATTAGAAATAAAAATTTTTAGGTAAAAATATAATTGGATGTATATGATTTATTGAATTAATTCAACAAAGAGAAGAAAAAAAAGAAGAAAGACATATATATCAGTTAAATTAATGTAGTTAAAAAAGGTGACAGCTAAAATTTTAATGTACTACAAACGATAATTGCTTATAGTGAATTGCATTATCATCAATTAAAGTAATAATTAAAACTGAAAAAAAAAAAAAAAAAGAATCATTTGTATCGAATATTGTTACATTCAAAAAAACAAATAAAAAAATATTCATTGCATTATTATCGTACTGCACACATTTATGTGATATATAAATTAAGCAACAATAAATGATATCGTTATTGTTCATGCAAAAATAATATTTGCTACAACAATAACATTTAAGAAATAATTAGTATTATATGAAGCAACAAATGATTAATCAATTCATTCATTTCAATTTTTTATTTTTATTACTTATTTTTATTTATTTATTTTTTCTGTTGAAATTTGCTACAAAACATTAATTGCATTAATTGCAAACTAAAAAAATTTAACAAAGTTCTTAATGTTTACTGAAAAAAAAAAGAAGCAAATTTTTTCAATCTCTTTCAAATAACAATTGTTATTAATTGTTCTGTTCGTTTTTTTCACCCTTTTTTTTTTCCCATCCTTTTCTTTTCTTTTTTCTTTTTTTTTCTCTTTACTAATTTCAAAAACAAAATTAATGCGTCTATATGTTCAATGTCACGTGTCTCTCTATGTTTGTGTATGAGTAAGGGAATAAGAAGGGAATAATTAGTAAGGGAATATGAAGGGAATAATTTAGAAGTACATCCAGCACGGAATATAGTCATCTAAACAGGTTTTCCGGTTTTTTTTTCACGTCTCTGATATAATTTCAGTTGTTGTTAATATATATTATAACAGGAAATTTAATTTGTTCATTGTATCCATCGTTATTTTTACTTTTATACTTTAACAATAATTATTTGTTCATTTTATATCAAAATTTATTTTGAAATTCATTATGAATTACTTATAAAACTCATAAAACAATCAATTTTTTCACTGAAAATTGGAATTCATATTTTATGAAAATAAATAATTGAAATATTTTGTTATAATTTTATTATGAAAAAGGGTAGTAATCATTGATGTTAGAGGGCAAAAATTGCCCTATTTTATTCATAGAAATTCATTGGTAACATATATTTAAAATTTGTTACCCATAAAAATTTAATATTCTTATCAAAATATAATAATAATATTACGAAATCAACTATATCAGTTCAATTACTATTCCTATTAATTTCAACAGATAACATTTATCCATCCCAAATATTTCATTCCCAGTGTAATATTGTTATAAATTTGTTATTCTGTTAGATAGTTCTAATTTTTTTTAATGCAATTTCAAATTTCACTACTATTTAAGTTTTAATGAAATTCGCTTTTTTTTTTCAAATTTCACACAGTTATTAGTTTTGTCAATACTAATTCTCATTAAAGAATGCATTTCAACTGCGTTGTAATACTAATTAATCATTTTCAAGTAAATAATCATTATTCATACAAAAATGAATCCATAATAATGCTCAAATCGATCATTGCTCATCCTTGCTAATGC